GAGGGAATGAAAGGTTGCAAGTATGGGAAGGAAAAGAAAGACGGAAGGAAAAAGGGGAAGGGAAGGAAAGGGAAGTGGAGGGAGAGAAGAAAGGGAAGGATGGGAGGAAGAAGAGGAAGAAAGTAAGAAAGTAGTAGGATAGGAAAGAGGGAGGGACGGAAGGAAAGGATGGGAGGAAATGGAGAAGGGGAGAGGGTGAAGAAAGGAAAAGGAGGGAGGATTGGGATGGAAGGGAGGAAAGGAAAGGAAAAAAAGAAGGAGAAAAGGAAGGAGAGGAGGTGAGGATGAAAAGAATGAAAGGAAGGGAAGGAAGAAAGGGAAGAAAGGAGAGAAGAAAAAAAACGAAGGAAGGGAGCGAGGGAAGTAGGGAATAAATGAAGGAAGGAAATGAGGGGAGGGAATGGAGGGAGGAAAGGAGTAAGGAAGAAAGGAAGGAAGGAGGAGGGAGGAGGGAAGGAAGATAGAAATGTATTGAAGGAAGGAAAGGGAAAGGATGGGAAGAAATAAAGGAAGGAATGAGGGAGAGGGAAGAAGAAATGAAGGGAAAGGATTGTAAGGAAATGGAGAAGGGGAGGGGGATGAAGGAAGGAAAGGAGGAAGGATTGGGATGGAAGGGAAGGAAAAGAAGAAAAGGAGGGAGGTTTGGGATGGAAGGGAAGGAAAGGAAGAAAAAAAAGGAAGGAAGGAAGGGGAGGGGAAGGGAAGGATGAAAAGAATGATAAGAAGGGAAGGGAGGGAGGGAGGGAGGGAGAGAGGAAGGAAGGGAAGGAATGATAGAATGGAAGAAGGAAGGAAGGAGAGGAGGGAAGTACGGAATGAATTAAGGAGATGAGGGGAGGGAATGGAAAAAGGAAAGGAGGAAGGAAGGAGGGAAGGAAGAAAGGGAGTGCAGGGGAGTGAGTGAGGGAAGAGAAAGAAGGAAAAGGTAGAGAAGTAAGGAAATGAATGAAGCAGAGTTAGGGGAGGGAAGGGGAGGGGAGGGAGGGAGGGAATGAAGGAAAGAAGGAAGGAAGGAAAGACGAAAAAAGGAATTGGAGGGAAGAAGGAAAGGAAGGGAAAGAAGGAAGAAAAGAGGGGAAGGGAAGAAAAAGGAAGTGATGGGAGGGAAGAAAGGGATGGATGGGGAGAGAAGTTCAGGATGGAAGGAATGAAAGGGAGCAAAGGGAAGGAAGGAGTAAGAAGTGAAGAAAGGAAGGAAGGAAGACAAGATATGAAAGAAATGAAGATAGGGGAGGAAAGCAGGGAAGGAGGGAAGTAATGCGAGATGAGACTGAAAGGGTGAGGTGAGTGGTAGAAAGATAGATTTGTGTGTCATAAGCATAGAGATGGGAGTTTATCAATTGACCAAGGGAGGTGGTGTAGATGGAGAAGAGAAGGGGTCCAAGGACAAAACCTTGAGGGATCCCTACAGAAAGTGGGAGCGTTATAGGTAATGCTGAAGGAGCGCTGCAATAGGTAGGAGGAGAACCAGGAGAGAGCAGAGTCTCTGAGGCCAAGAGAGTGGAGTTTTTTGAGGAGGAGGGTCAATCATATCAAATGCCGCAGAGAGGTAAGTAGTGAGTTTTAATAGGGCAGTTTCAGTGGAGTGGAGTGAGCAAAAGCCAGACTGTAAAGGGTCAATAAGGTGTTGTGGGAGCTAAAGCAATTGTAAACTAAGCGTTCCAAGAGTTTAGAGGGAGATGGGTCCTAAGTTGTTCAGGTTGGCGGTGGTCCAGGGAGAGCTTTTGAGGTATGGGAGTGATGTGTGCTTGCTTTAGAGGTGAGGGGAAGGTACCGTTAGAGAGGGAGAGATTGAAGATGTGGATAGGATGGAAGAAGAGGGTGACCGTAGTAGTTGTGAGGGTGACCGTAGTAGTTGTGAGGGCAGGTAGTGAGACGAGCTTCTGATAAAACCTTAGTGACCTCTTCGGTAGTAGCAAGGTCAAAGGAGGAAAGTGTTGAGGGAGGTTTAGTATAAGGTAGGCTAAGTGGGATGGATGTCTGTGCAGTGGCAATGCCCCTACGAATTGCATCAATCTTATTTTTGAAATGATTTGCAATCTTGTGAGCAGTGAATGAGGTACTGGGTGGAGGTGGAGAAAGTAGAGAGTTAAAAGTAGAGAAGAGACGAGAACTGGATGACAATGTATTAATAAGAGTGACAAAGTAGGCTTGTTTAGCAGCATGAAAAGAGGAAATGTATGTTAAGAATCTCTGTTATCTCTGTGTGGTTCCTCAGTCATCCAATCATCTCTGGTCGCAGCAAACAAGGAGGCAATGCTCGGGCTGGTCTGCAGTTCCCAGTCGGTCGTGTTCATCGCCTGCTCTGGAAGGGCCACTATCCCGAGCGGATCGGGGTCGGAGCTCCCATCTATCTGGTCGCCGTCCTGGAGTATCTGACGGCTGAGGTCCTCAAGCTGGCCCGCAACGCCGCCCTAGACAACATCCCGCATCATCCTTTGAAGTAGTTGAAGGAAAGATGGTTGTATCTGGATACAGGAAGCTTGGTTCATTCTTGGTTCTTGCGATCTTCCTGACGAACTCTGCAAAATAGGAAAAGGGGGGAAAAGAAACATGGTGTTCATATTTATACCTTGATCCTACGCTAGTCCACTTTCCCTGGAGATGACTAGGCAACTTTGCTACAATAGGATTTACGCCCTGAGCAGTGTCTAAATAGCTAAGACTAGGATCTGACTTAGCAATTTCAAGTCCATGAAGGAGGTCACCTAACTCTCTAAGCCTATGATTGTCCTTAACAGAAATCTTAGGAAAGTCTTTTAGTCTCTGGAATAAGGCAGATTCAATGACTTCGGGGCTCCCATAGTCTTGTTCCAGTTTTTCCCAGGCAGCATTAAGGCCTGCTTCAAAGTTATAAATGTAGACAGATTTAAGTCTCTTTACTTGTTCTGAAGATTGACGCCCCAACCACCTTATTAGTAAGTCAAGTTCTGCTTGAGGTTCAATGTCTAAGTTCTTGGTTACCGCCTTAAATGTAGATCTACAACTCCTATAGTTCTCTGGGTGATCGTCGAATCTAGACAGTCCAGTAGTAATTAACTCTCGCTGAATCATGTACTTGCTGAACTCTGCACTATCAACCCTTTCAGTTTTTACATCCACAGGTGATACTGATGGTGCACCATCTTGAATCATGGTTGGTATCTGATGCTGGCTGATAGGTGGAAAGGTATTGCAGATGGGTTCAATCCAGGTATGGGTCTGGTGTCTGAAGATCTCTGTGCGTTTGAAGTTGAAGTTAACTGTATTACAGGTGGTATAGAGTTCACTCTGTAGTCTTCTGTTGTGTCCTTGTAATCTCTGTTCACATATGGTTGTGGTGGCACATGAGCTGGATAAGTTGGTACACTTAATTTTGTGGCACGCGGTAGCTGTGAAGTGTCTCTGTTGGAAGGTGCATCTGGTTGATCAGCTTGCTTTGACGACATGTTGCCTTCTGATTGAATTGCTGGATGATTATGGGAAGAATCTCCAACTGTAGGTGGAACTGTATCATCGTGGTTCTGGGTTAAGACAAACTGTAGGGTCCTTTCAACAGGGACTTGACAAGCAACCAAGCTGGGAGAATATGCTCCTTCTTCTTCTAAAATGGCTTGTTCCAAGACGGATAATTCCGCTAAGGCTACTTCCTTTTCTCTATTTTTCTGAAGGATTTCTAGCTGAGCCTCTGATTCTGCTTGTATTCTTGCTTGAATGCGTTTAGCTTCTGCTTTGAAGGCTGCTTCCTTGCATTTAGCTTCTGCCTTGAAGGCTGCTTCCTTGCATTTAGCTTCTGCTTCCTTGCATTTAGCTTCTGCCTTGAAGGCTGCTTCTCTTTCAGAACAGGTGGCTTGAACCTGGGCTACTGCAACCCTTTGGCGAGCTTTGAGTATTTGGTCGCTCAGTGTTGACCTTACAGAGCAGGACCGCAATGACTTAGAAGATGATTTATGATATGAGCGGGCAGATCTATTTGATTTTCCTGAGTGTCTGAAAGCAGTAGATATACAGGATGTAGTTTCATGTAGTTGTGCTAATCTAACCTCTATCTGTGTCTTTGCTTCAAGATAAGTGATATGTCTCTGCTGGTCAGTAGAAATAAAGTTCTTTAATTCTAGTAAAGCTTCCTCTACATCGGAATGTGACAAAAGGGAAGAGTACTTTTCAGAAAGTCTTTTATAATTCTCAAATGCCTTCTTAACCCTTGAGACCCGTGTTCAATTGCTCAGAATTGTTGCTAGTTTCATTACTGGCTGTTATACAACTTAAAGTTTTCTCCCATAATGCAGTCAGGTTACTGTATGTCTCTTCCTTACTTGCATCATAAACCTCTCTTGCCTTCAAAGATGGATGAGGGGCTCTAATAGGACGAGCAGAATGCAGCATGGTGTCTGTTTTATCTTGATTACATACAGGTGACTCATAAGTGGGATCTCTGTCAGACATAATGACAAGTGCTGTAGTTTTAGTGTCTTGTTGGAAATCTGCAGAAGCTCAGCTCTGTAGTTACTTTTATTTGCAAGCAGGCTGAGCATGGGGAGCTGAATGTCTATTGCAATGAGGCAGCTAGAGCAGCAGCCTGGCTCACACTGGATGCTCCACTCAGTGCACAGACAAGATTACTGTTCTTCATACAGGAGAATGGTTACTCACAGTTCTGAAGCTGCAGAGATGGCTGTGTGATGAATTCTCATGGAGATTTACTGGAAATTTACTGTTCTGTCTTGGCATCAGTTGTACTTATGGCGAGATTCGTTCAGACCCAGTCTGTCAGAATGTGTGCAGCAAGTTGAATGATCGCCTTAACAGATAGTTTACTCAATGAATAACAACTTCAGAGGTATTTTCGAATGCTTCTTCAAGGTAACAAAGGTTGAACATAAAGGTGTTTTCATAGGTAAATTTACAGTGATGTACATAGCCTCCTCACTCTACAGTATCTTGATAACCACTAAACAAAAATGGTGTTACAACAGGAAATGAAGGGTGGAAGCAACCAACTAGTCAGAAACAGCAGGGGTGTGTGGATGATACCAAATAACATTATAACATAACATGTAAATACCAACTGCTAAACAGTAAAGCTGCGTGGCAGCACACTCACTATTCATTGCTTCGGACCCACTGCTCCAGCACCTCCGGTTCACCGCTTGGCACTAACAGCACATCACCCTGCATTAAAAACAGCCCAGGTCCCCATAATGTCCTCCCCTCTCCAATCCACCAATCTGTCCCCGCTGTGCTTCTGGCTGGCATTCCTTCCTCCCCCTCCCATCGGCTGCAGCTTTTGTACACAGGGCACAGGGAAGATGTCAGGATGGAGAACGGGGAGGGGGCTGAAAAGGAAAGGAAGGCTGGTTGTTTACCCTTACCTTTCCTTGAATGAACATAGTGAGCGATGAGTACTGATCACTCCTGTTTACATTCATCACTGGAGCACAGACTGCTTTTCATTCATATACAGTACAGCTCAGGCTGCAGAGAAAGGGACTTCTGTCCCTTTCTGTCTCAAAAAAGAGACATCAGGTGCTTTTTTTTAGACCTCTGATATCTCACAAAAGTCTCCCCCCCAAAAAAAAATAAATTGTAAAATACAAAAAAACCCCCAAAAACATAAAGCCTTGTTTACAGGATATACTACCACATACTCCTCTGCAAAACTGTGTTTACCTACACAGGGATGCCCAGGTGTTCCATGTATGCACATGTAGGCAGATGTAATCTGGGATGTGGATACTGCAAGAACACAGCCAATGACATCCATGTGGGTCCGGGTGAATGTCCCTAAGCGGCTGAGTCATGCACCCACACGGTTGTCAGATTGGGAGCAGCAGCTGTGAATGTGCAGCTGCTGCATCACAATTGACGTGAATGGGACTGCCTGCATGGGGGATGCACAAAATACTTGGCACTCCACTTTAGTATGCCCCATGTGAACAAGGCCTTAGCAGCAATTTAGCAGAAATTTTGTAAGCTGTGTTTGTATTCACTAATAATGATTTTAGTGTATAGCAATTTAATTAACATTTGTGCAACTATTGCAGGGTCTACAAAATCAGTAGTACTTTTTTTTTATATTCTATAGGTTATGTGCTCTCAGAAAATAGTTTGGGGGTCTTTTTTGTAAAAAAAAACTCTGAAAGCTGTAAGTGAAAAATAACCTCAGAAATTTAGAGCAAATAGTTTATGTAGAGTTTTGTGCACCTTCAGTTTTCACCATTTCACAAAAAGGCACAATTTACAATGTACAAATATTTGTTATTTATTAACTTAATACAATTCTTACTTTTATAACTAGTAGGAATTTAGCAGGAATTTTGTAATTTTTTCCATGCATGTATCCACTAAATTATTTTAGTGTACTTTTAGTAAAATTATTGGTTTGACAAACATTTGCGCAAATATTTGAGCCTAAAAAAAATTAGTAGCACCTTCCTTTTATTCTATTGGTCCTATTCTTTCAGAAAATGTATGGTGGGTCTTTCACAAACTCTGAAAACTATAAGGGAAAACTAAAAAAAGCAATGGAAAAAAAGCAAAAATGGCCTAGCCATCTGAGTTTAAAAGGGGAGCGCAAGGCCTGGCAGTGAAAGGGATAAAGGAGTTTAGAGGCAGAAAAATAAACACTGCCAGTGCATCCAGGAGCAGAGGAACTTTAGCAGAAAAAACATTGCCAGCACTTCTTCATAAACAGTCTTTATTGGTACAACACATAGTATGATCCATAAAACTGACGCGTTTTAGCCAAAGCCTTTCTCAAAGCATACATGAAAAAAATAAAATCCAAGTATGAGTATATAACCAATATAGGGGACGGTATCATCTTAACTAAAAACATTAATTGGTTGATTTATATGACATGGAGATAGAACCTCTCTTATTTATACAGGAAGCAAGTATACTAAGTTGAACAGAGTGTAAGCAGGCATTTTAAATAAGAACAACTACTCCTACAGGGCACCCTCTGGGATCAGGAGGTCACTTTTCATTATGCCCCCAATCGCTTTCAGCACAAATTCTTTTCACATCTTTGTTCCATCATTTCCCGACACTTCTTCTTTCGGGGGATTAAAATGTTACCTTGGATTCCGTTCTAGACAGGCGCTCTGCTTGGGGGGTGGTCCCTTCTCATGCAGAAAGAACACATCACTCCTGCAGTCTGCAAGGCTGGAGGGAACTTCACCCAACTGAGAGAGAATTCACATTCTACTCATAACAGTTTCTGCACATAAATGCAGGTTCAGTCAGGTGTAGTCTGGCACATATGCATCCCTTTCTACCCCTGGTCAGACCATGATCCTCTGGTCTTACTTCCTGGTCCAAGGCGGTTTGACACAGTGCCTTTTTCTTTCGCGCATTAAATGAGCCTCTATTGACCACGGTTTGGCACAGTGCCTTTTTCAATTGTGCATTAATGAGCTTCTATTGACCACTAAGGTCAGCATATTGAATCTTTCATCCGAACAAGGCTGAATGGGCTTTGCGTTGGACCAAACATAAGTTTTATACCTGTGCTAATAAGCAGGGTCTGATGCTGGCTAGGAAACTGCATTCTGTGGGGAAACCCTACAAGCTCCCTACGGGGGGTTATACTTCCAATCCCCAGCAGATCATCTCTCGCTTTGCGGACTTCCTTTCGCATCTGTACGCCAAACAAGATCCCTTTCCCATAGCTCAGCCGGAAGTGTTCTTTCAAGATCTACAGCTTTATTGCAGGTGTTACTGTATTGGAAGTATCTACAGCTTTAATGCAGGTGTTACAGTATTGGAAGCTATCAAATCTTTACGGTCCACCGCAGCCCCGGCTTTTCAGGCCTCTATTACAAGAAATTTGCAACCCTGTTGGTGCATTATTGACTGGTTACTCATATCACCATGATTCCTAAGACAACGGAAGACATGCTGGAACCACAAGCCTTTTGGCTCATTTCTCTTCTTAATGAGGATTTGACGATATTGTGCAAGATTCTCAGTCTGTGTATCAATAAATATTTGCGTAGCCTGGTCCACAGGGACCAAGTAGGTTTTGTTCCTGGGATTCAGGCGGACGGCAATGGTAAGGTGGTTCACCTTTATACACCTTCTGCAATAGCAGGATTCTTTGGCCATATATAAAGCTTTTGATTCCTGTTCATGCTGTCCCTCTGGGGCTTTGGGGATTCTATCCTTTCTTGGATTCAGGCCTTGTTGGATTCAGGCCCTTTGGCTTCGGTTAAGTATGCAGTGTATTTCTAAGATCCCTTTCCTATCTGGCGAGGGAATAGACAGGGATGCTCTTTGTCCTGGCGCTTGAGCCGCTGGCCTTGGCACTCTGGGCTGATTGTAATATATTGGTTGTCCCATAAGCGGGACAGGAATTTGAGTTGAATTTTTTGGTGGATTGACCCTATTGACTCTCACTAATCTTTTGATGATGCTCCCAAGCTTGCAACAGGTTCTTTCGTTTTTTTTCTCAATTTCGGGTCTCCGTATAAATTTAGATAAGGCTGTCCCTCTCAATATCACTTTGGCTTCAGATTTGGTTTTGTGCCTGCAGTCCCACTTTCCTTACAAATGGGCTTCCTGTTCACTCAAATACTTGGGCATTCGCCTGATCCCCACATATGGCTCTTTGTTTGCTGCAAACTATTATCCATTGCTTCGCACTGTGTCCTCTATTTTGCGCTCGTGGCAATTCCTGCACCTGACCTGGATAGGATGGGTCAACTCAGTGAAAATGACTATCCTGCGTAAATTGTTATATTATTTTCGTACTCTCCCAGGGCGGGTTCACTCCTATTTCCTCTGGCTGATTTAGGCGAGGATTATGCGATTTATCTGGGCTGATAGATGCCCCAGAGTCTCCAGAAATACGCTTTTTGTTCATAGACTGCAGGGAGGTACTACCACTTGTCATGAAAATTTTGTATTGTTGGTTGAACTTTAAATGTGTCATATATGAGTGTTATTCATATGTCTCTCGTGTGGCTTAATTAAAGCTCTGAAGGCTGCAATTGGGCCATGCGCATGTACAATGTATGTATTACAGTACTCAGCTCGGTAATGGATGAGATGGCAGATCTGCGCTTATAGACCGGCGTGTATACCACCACGGCATTCGATGCGATCCACATATCAGCAGCATAGTACCACATGGACTTCATAACGCTAGGCGCCAAGTGGTACGAACTCTGGGTGTAGGCTTCTTATGCATATCTTACAACCCATTACCGACCTGAACTGTATCCGGATGGATGTGTTTTAATAAAGATCGTATCGGGCCCATCCAGGTACAGACTGATGTTTCTAGGGAATGCTTGTACAAGGAATTTGCATACCAATAGGAGCTAGTAGGACAGGAAGTATCCCCTCCATAGAGGGCTCATGGGGGGAAGGGGAGGAAGTCTGCTGACCTCAGAGAGCTCATGGGGGAGGACCAGTGATAGATAATAGGAAAGGCTATGCTCCAAATCGAATGTACATCCTGTGTATAGGCACTCCCCATTGCATTGTTCGGTGGGAGGGGATTGACCTTATTTTTGTGGGGGGCGTGTGTGTATTTGTAATAAAACCAGAGGGAAGAATGAAAACTTTCTCTATGTGAATTCCAACAGCATCCTGAGAGTGTCGTGTGATCATTCTGGGGTATAGGGAGCTCCATTTACCCACATTTCAAAAGAAGTTAAATCAGTTGGAAGGGCAGGAATCGTGTAGTTTAGCTGCAGTTGTGGTAAGCGAGATTCACACAGCTTTATGGGGATTTCTGCGCATCCAACTGCGAGTACTCACGGTAAGGAGAAATTCGTTAGAGCGAATTTCCAAGACAGTTTGGCGAGCCAGTGGATACTAACGTGAATTCTGCGATAGCTAACCAAGTTCGAGGGGGGAATGAGCCATCATGAACTAGCAAAAAGTATGCCGGCACATTTCAGGTCTCTCTGCCTTTAAGAGGATCGCTTTTTGTGCGTTTGTGTGGCTAATTTCGCTCTCTGTTAGCTAACGTGAATTCCGCTTAACAAGGACCTAGTTTTGTCCTAAAATCTTGATTTGTGGGTGAAAGACAAGGGTTTTTCTCTGCTGAGAGCAGCAGAGGGGTGGGTTTGGTTGGCTGGATTTGGTCAAGTTTAAAAATCTTCCAACCAAAAATTAAATGGGTATATATGTTTTAGCGGGTAAAAGTTGTTGCATGTTTAGGTAAGTATTTGTGGGTTGTAGGTACTGTGGTGATTGCTCTACCCCCCTCCACGTGAGGTAATTATCACAGTGCTGAAAGGCTTAGGTTAATTGTTAACTGTTGTAAGATCTTTGTGTGTATGTAGTCTGTGCAATGTTTTGTCTGTACTCTGTTACATGTGCATGTTAGTGGTGATATGTTGGTGTTTTATGTCCGTTCCGTGATTGTACCAATTTGTGTTGTATGTGTGCTGTATATTGCTGTGTAATTGTCCAGTGTATGTTCTGTCCAAAAGTCTGTTTCCTATATGCATTTGACACATTTTGTGTTTTTAATCCAAATTTTTCCAGTTTAAGTTGTTTGCTTTTAGCTTTAAATTTGCGTATTGCCAGCCAATTTAAAGTGTGTTAAGCGAGTTTTTCCCTCACGTGTTCCACATTTAGTGAGCGTGGTGAAGTTTGGGTTTTTTGCACATAGATTTCTTGTATAGTGATTATGTTTCTCTTGTGTTTTTCTTGTTAAAAGTAGTTCCTTATTGTAAAGCGGGTTTGTTTTAAAGCTGCTGCGTTGCGTGTTTCGCGTCCAGCAGACTTTTTGTGTAAACGGTTTTAGGTGGTTACAGTGAAGATTGCGTTTGTAACGCGGATCGTTTTAGCGGCGCTGATAGGATTGATTTTCGTGTCAGCAACGGGTTATTCTTGGAGCAGTTTTTCGGTTCAACTCTGTGTAATTGTTTTACTGCGAAACGTCCCGTGTTTTCCATAAGGTTCCACTTTGTCCTTTTTTTAACGGTTTTTTCTAGCTGAAAAGGGTTTTTTTCTGTGTGTATTAGAGAAGTTTTTTTCTTTACACAATCTTTCCTAAAGGTCAGTTAGCAGGTTTCCGGGCAACCAGTGACCCCTAAGTAACATCCAAGAACCCCTCTTTTTGGTTGGACTTGTGTTAGCTACTGTGTGCAGGGAGAGAAAAGCCACTTTCATCATTGTGCGGTGTGGCCTGCCAAACACAGTGGGGGATGAGAACCACATAAATTACGCTGTGCGAGTGGGGGCGGTCCAGGGAAGTGTAACGCTTAGCCTGGTTACCACAAACACTTCGGGTGGTCAGGATCACATAAATTGCGCTGTGGGAGTGGGAGGTGTGCTCTCAGTCTGGCCACCACTTGATGCGCTTCGGGTGATCGATAAGTATCACATAAATTACGCTGTGCTGGGAAAGTGGTGGAATCAGGCCTCTCGGTAGGATCCCACCGAGTGCTCCAGGGGGTAAACAGGTACCCGGACGCGGGATATATACCAGTGACTAGTCACGATGGGCAGTAGTCAGTCCATGAAGAGAGAGGGGGAACCAGCCCTCTTCAGGGTAAGGACAGCTGCACAACTGATGAAGGTGAGTTTGGGGGGGAAGTCTACAGAACCCCTCAAAAGGTGGAATAAATGGTCGAAGGGTACCAGATGGGAAATTCCCCCGGGAAGGTACATTTGACGCATGGAGGTGGGAAAAATTCATCTCTGAATTTGGACCACAGATGCAGGCGTCAGAAGTAGAGATCGCACAGCTATGGCTTCACAGGTCAATCCGATTAGGGAAGCAGGGCATACATAAACTGGTGTCTGTCCGGAAGAACCAGGTGATGTATACCTGGCCTCCAGAGGGAATAAAACAGGAGGATCCAGTGTCAGAGGTGGAGGAAGCTCTTTCAGGGCTGACTCTACTAAGGCAGGCAGGATCAGGGTCTGCTGGGGTTCCCGAACAACCAACAGTGGCTGAGATAAGTATAACTGCACCTGTCTCTTCTGTTAGTGACGTCACTCTTGACGTACCTTCCATGTCTTCTGTATCTATGCCTCAGCCTCTACCTCTCCCTTCTCCCTGCTTCACCCCAGCTCCTTCTGTTTCCAACTACGAAGTCTTCTCAACAACCGATTTGCAGACTATCTGTGAATCAAGGGGAATAGACACATGGTTAAGAAACAGGGCGGATTGCATCAAAGCGCTACGAGCCACTGATCAGACCCCTGATCAGTTATACCCTGATATACCAGCTATACCCTGATCTGAGGGACCACTCAAACCTGAAGGTGCAGTAAGCGAGGTGGTTAATCTAAGCCCACCGATGAAGCCAGCCCTTGCACTCTTCCCGGACCGAGGCCTATCTAGTCAGGGTGCAGCAATTTGAAGGTCCTCCAATGCACAGGGGGAACGGACTTTAGGGGAACGGGTAGTTTGGCATGTCCCCTTCACCCCGGCAGAGATCCGCACTATTCTGGCTGAGCTCCCGGACTATCGAGTCAATCCGAGAGGATTTTGCTCGAATGTTTGGACAAAACCAGTTCAGCTATGGTATGAGCGGGTCAGATTGTGCGCAGATCCTGCGGGCAAAGGTGGGCATGGAAGTGGCCAGTACAGTGATTGCAGGGTGCTCTATAACCACTCATGAGGAGATGACTTCAGGGGGCAAAGAGTTCTGTGCACAGCTAAAGGCAAAGCTTCCAGAAATGTATGGTGCTACCTCTACTACGGACATGATGCTCACCCAGGGTCCTAAATGAGGAAAGTGCCTGCTTCTGGCGCCGTCTCAAACAGACGGCACTGGATGCGGATCTGGAAGTTGGACCTGATGCTCCAACTGAAGGGGTAAAGGTGACCGCGACGCACATTCTGTTGCGGGCCAAATTTTTGGAAGGCATCGATACTAAAATTCGGGAAAGGCTGGTTCTGGCCCGACCCAAATATAATGAGATGTCTATCCCTGCTATCCTTTCCACTCTTGCGGCAATAGAGAGGGAAATGGATAGAAGAAAACAGGACAAGGCCAAAGTTCTTATGTCCCAGACCCCACACAAAAAACCAAGGGATCTGGGTCACAGGAAGGATAGTCCCCCCACCCAGGTGCTTCCAGTGCCACCAAATGGGGCACATGAGGAGGAGCTGTCCCCAATTACCTAAAGGTTTGTGGCAGTTAATTCCTGATGAGTCCTCCGCCCCTGTGACCACCATGGTAAGTAACTCCTATGAATTCTCATAGGAAGTTGACAAATCGGTGTCGGCCCAGATCCATCTTTTTCTAGAGGAATTAAAATATCCCCTCCCTTGCCTCACCGACACCAGTGCAGCAAGAACGGTCTTGCGAAAACAGGACATCCAAGGCAAGGTACCCCTCTCAGGGGAAAGCCCTCCTAACCCCTACGAAACCTCACTATCAAATGATGCACTATTCTTAACCCAGCTTCTCTTCTTCCTGTGTTGGAAGATGAGAAGGGGGGGAGGACAGCAACGACAGTGCTGAATTTTGCAACACGACTAACAATACTAACACCTCTTCTGCTAACATGTCTTCTTTGTCCACTACTAACCTCTCTTCCAAAGGACACGACTGCATTTTTTTGGTGGAACTGGAGTCAGCGGCGACACACCCCATATCACCCCGAGAGTAGCGGTAAGGTTGAACGTCTTAACGGAATCCTTAAAAACAGGATCTCCAACATCATGGCCGATACCCAAAAAACCTTGGCCTGAGTGTCTCCCCATTGCCCCCTATTCCATCCGGAATGCCCCTCGGAAACCACATGGGCTGTCACCCTACGAGGTGTTGTTTGGGGGACCTCCCAAAACAGGGTTGTACTTTCCTCAACAGTTGTCGTCTTTGCATTCACAGTTTACAGGTTACGTGCAATCTCTGCAACGGGAGCTGCAGAAGATACACCATCGGGTTCGTGAATCGCTCCCCGATCCAAATGCAATAACAGGTGTTCTTTCTATTGAGCCAGGTGATTGGGTCGTCCTAAAGAAACATCAAAGAACGGACTCGAGCCTCGGTTTCACCGGACCATACCAAGTCCAGCTGACGACACCTACCTCACTCAAGCTCGAGGGACGAGACAACTGGGTGCACGCAAGCCACTGCAAGAAGCTTTTCAGCTACACCAGAGAATGAGGGGTGTCATTTTCCTTTTTCTTTTTGTTTGTATGTCTTACATGTGTGTGAACAGAGAAAAGACGGCAGATACCCCAACCTTTTATTTAAAATGCATCTGCGTTTAGTCAGAACCGCCAACAAAACCAACTGTTGGGTATGCTCTAAGCCCCCACCCAGTCATCACATGTCCGCAATGGCCGCTGTTCATGTCCTATATGACATCCGCGTCGGCATGAAAAAGAAAGGGACCCCTGGTCAGCCCCCACGTAGACATTTGTCGGTAGAACTTAATGACACATTTTAGCAGGTAACATCAGTTTTAGCACCAATATTAGCTCTAGCTCCTGTAGGGCCCTCACCAGTCCATTATGGGTAACTGGGCAGCTAGGCAGCCCTCAGGTGTGCTTTAACACCAGCTTTGGCACAGGTAACAAGTTTGTTGGGACTACCACCTGTGAGGGAGGTATAACTGTCAATCTGACTAACCAGACTTCCCTTCTGAGTAACCACACTGACCGACCAGAGCACGTTTGCTGGAAGGACGGATGTGATGTAGCAGTCTGTGCAACTGTTGCTCAGTGCCAGAGGCCGAACGAGGAACTCCTCCTGCTCTGCTCTGACAGGTCCATACTATTTTCTGTGTGGTTCGGCAGCCTATAGAACATTTCCCCAGAACGCGAAAGGTTCGTGTGCCCTCATAAAGCTAGTCCACGCATCCTATGTAGTGATGGATCATGAAGAGTTGATGGTCCACAAGAAGGTAAGGATGGCAGGGAGAGTTCGCAGGGAGCTGTTCTCTGAGGGCGACCAAGCATGGGCTTAATTCCCCTCATGGACAGGTTGGGGAATAGAACTTATGAAGTGCCTGAACAATTTTTCTGTCATCGTGGATAGTATGTTTAACGAGACCGTAGAGGCTGTCAGAGAAATTGCCCAAGAACAACGGCAGATGGGAATTCTAGTGCTTCAGGAGAAGATGGCCCTTGATTACCTTTTAGCTGCCAAAGGGGGGTTCTGTGAGTTAATCGGAGAGGATTGTTGTACTTGGATAGAAGACACCGATGACAAGGTCCAGGCCCATATGGACAAAGTTAGTGAACTACAGGCAAAAGCTAGAGCTATAGCTAGTGAGGGTTGGAATCCGTTCAAGGGTTTGGGAGGATTGGGAGATTTCCTGTTCTCCATCGGATCTTGGTTGAAGGAAGTGTATATCCTGATGCTTCTCTTTCTTTTTCCTCTGCCTCTTATATGCCGCGGTGAGATGTTCCTGTTGCCTCATCGACCGTGTAAGCCAAGCTCGGGCAGACGACCACATCTCCATGCCCCATCCTGGGATCCCACTCCAACCACTGATCGGAGGAAGACCTCACCAACCAACCACCTTCTCTACAGATTACGTCCTGGCTTTCCTCTAATTTATCTCCCTGAAGACCACATTCTCCAAGACCTCCAAGCAAGCTTCAAGCCACATCATGGTTTGTGTCTGCGATTTGGAAAACTGTCTGGGTCGAGACCAGCCTTGTGTGGCCTCGTCTGCAGGGGCAATTTGAGAATCTGCTGCTGGATCTCCCCAGACCACGGTGGGACCACAAGCTTTATTCATACCACAAGTCTGTTTGTGGTTTTTGCAAGAGTCTTCCTGTAGTGAAGGTTCCAACGCTCTTGAGGATCATCGCTTCAATCAAGCCCGTTTGCGTCGAGTCTGCGTCGGGTCTTGTTGTTTCAGGTACCCCGTGGAGCTTTATTCTCAGGGACAACTACAGGAACTCTGGTCTAAGACCAACTCTTTGAGGTTTTGAGACTACACCCATCAAGCTGAAGAAGATCAAGAAGGGACACGAGGAGAATATGATAAAACAGGAGGGAATGTCATGGAAATTTTGTATTGTTGGTTGAACTTTAAATGTGTCATATATGAGTGTTATTCATATGTCTCTCGTGTGGCTTAATTAAAGCTCTGAAGGCTGCAATTGGGCCATGCGCATGTACAATGTATGTATTACAGTACTCAGCTCGGTAATGGATGAGATGGCAGATCTGCGCTTATAGACCGGCGTGTATACCACCACGGCATTCGATGGGAATGCCACCGGCCTGTATCCACATATCAGCAGCAGCATAGTACCACATGGACTTCATAACGCTAGGCGCCAAGCGGTACGAACTCTGGGTGTAGGCTTATGCATATCTTACAACCCATTACCGACCTGAACTGTATCCGGATGGATGTGTTTTAATGAAGATCGTATCGGGCCCATCCAGGTACAGACTGATGTTTCTAGGGAATGCTTGTACAAGGAATTTGCATACCAATAGGAGCTAGTAGGACAGGAAGTATGCCCTCCATAGAGGGCTCATGGCGGGAAGTGGAGGAAGTCTGCTGACCTCAGAGGGCTCATGGGGGAGGACCAGTGATAGATAATAGGAAAGGCTATGCTCCAATCGGAATGTATATCCTGTGTATAGGCACTCCCCATTGCATTGTTCGGTGGGAGGGGGATTGACCTTATTCATGTGGGGGGGCGTGTGTGTATTTGTAATAAAACCAGAGGGGAGAATGAAAACTTTCTCTATGTGAATTCCAACAGCATCCTGAGAGTGTCGTGTGATCATTCTGGGGTATAGGGAGCTCCATTTACCCACATTTCAACAGAAGTTAAATCAGTTGGAAGGGCAGGAATCGTGTAGTTTAGCTGCAGTTGTGGTAAGCGAGATTCACACAGCTTTATGGGGGATTTCTGCGCATCCAACTGCGAGTACTCACGGTAAGGAGAAATTCGTTAGAGCGAATTTCCAAGACACACTGTCTATGTTGCACGCTTCCTCTTATGTTCCTCTCTGGGTTCCTAACTGTGCCCCTATTGCGACATCGACGCTTCTATCCCCATAGGGTGCTCTACACCTGACAACATTGAGTCCAATTCTGCCTGCAAGTGTGGGACTTGGTTCACTGGAGTCAGTGATGTCACCCTTTTTTAATATCTTAATTCATTTTTAAACGTACAAATCTATTTCTTACCAGCTTCATACAATACAAAAAAATCTTTACTTAATTTCCCCCCTTTCTCCGCCTCCTATCGTCATCCAAGTTATTCGGTACACTTATTTTCTGAATCTCTTGTATGTATTACACTATCTCTTCAAAAACTCCTGTATTTTGGGACATTTCCACTAAAAATGTGCCATTGTACCCTTACTTACCTTACCAACACTGGGGTGAGGTGTCTGGTCTTAGTTTATGTTTCAATATACCATCTTACCAAGCATTTATAATTCATTCCAACTATATTCATATTTACCACCCCATGTGTAAACATTTTACTTTTTTGCTGCTCATTCACTTTTGTTCCAAGCTCCCACTTCTCTAAAAACTTTAAACTTGCCAATCCCTCTATTTCAGTAAGAGTTCAAAAGATCTTAGAGATGGTATGTTTTTGTTTATACTCAACAGTAGTAGGATATTTTTCTTTCTCTGTTCTTAGTGGTTGTGGGAGCTCTGCAACAAAATGTCTTATCTGACCATACCTCCACTCATCTAGTGTAGAAAATATTGCCTTCTTGCACTTCAACTCTTGTAATGAACATAAATCCCCTTTATCCCCTGAAGTATTGTCATTCCCTGGCGGAACAAATTTAGTTCCCGCCAATGGTATTTACAGTGAATTAAACTTCCAATCCTTTTGTTTGTGCATTTCATCCGATATCCTGAGTACGTTTATTCATACATTATTCCCCCCCACTGACACCAATGATGGGGCACTATTCCTCCCCCCCACTGACACCAATGATGGGGCACTATTCCTCCCACTGACACCAATGATGGAGAACTATTCCTCCCCCCCCTGACACCAACGATGGGGCACTATTCCTCCCCCCACTGACACCAACGATGGGGCACTCGTCCTCCCCCCACTGACACCAACGATGGGGCACTATTCCAACCCCCACTGGCACCAATGACATACTATTCCTCCCACTGACACCAATGATGGGGCACTATTCCTCCCAATGACATCAATGATGGGGCACTATTCCTCCCGCTGCTACCAATGACGGGGCACTATTCCTCCCGCTGATACCAATGACTGGACACTATTCCTCTCGCTGATACCAATGACGGGGCACTATTCCTCCCACTGACACCAATGATGGGGCACTATTCCTCCCAATGACACCAATGATGGGGCACGATTCTTCCCACTGACACCAATGATGAGGCACTATTCCTCCCACTTATACCAATGATGGTGCACTATTCCTCCCCCCACTGACACCAATGATGGAGCACTATTCCTCCCACTGACACCAATGATGAGGCACTATTCCTCCCACTGACACCAATGATGGGACACTATTCCTCCCACTGACACCAATGATGAGGCACTATTCCTCCCAATGATGGGGCACTATTCCTCCCAATGATGGGGCACTATTCCTCCCACTAATACCAATGATGGGGCACTATTCCTCCCGCTGATACCAATGACTGGACACAATTCCTCTCACTGATACCAATGACGGGGCACTATTCCTCTCACTGACACCATTGACGGGGCACTATTCCTCCCAATGACACCAATGATGGGGCACTATTCCTCCCACTGACACCAGTGATGGGGCACTATTCCTCCCACTGACACCAATGATGTGGTACTATTCTTCCCACTGACACCAATGGTGGGGCACTATTCCTCCCACTGACACCAATGATGGGACACTATTTCGCTCCATAAGACACACTTGGGGGGAAATGTCTGTGCGTCTTATAGAGCAGCCGGCCCAGTATTCCCACCGCCGTTATATGTCCGCAGTCTCTGAACAAATGCGGACACAGTACAGGAGATGACCATAGTTAGATGGCCCCCTGTTTAAAAAGTTTGAGGACCCCTGTTCTAGACCCTATTCCTAATGTTCTAAGTAAATCAATCATAAAACCCTAATCTACTCTGTTGAAGGCTATTTCAGCCTCTACCGACAGAATAATTCCTGGTACCTTTCCTCTTTCATGCTTTTGTAGGATAAGCAATGTTCTTAAGCTGTCATCCTTTCCCTTTCTACATGGAATAAATCCCACTTGGTCTAAGTGTATCCAGTCAGACATCAACTCTTTCATCCTTGTCGCTAATACCTTTGCGTACAATTTTGTATCAATGTTTAACAAAGATATAGGTCTATAACTGGCCTTCCTTAGGTATACCCATGATATATGCCTGCAATGACTCCTCCCTCATCTTTGTCTCCTCTCCCAGAACGTTCATGTAAGTACACAGTTTCTGGGCTAATTGTTCTTTGAACTTCTAGTATCACACTGTGAATCTGTCAGGTCCTGGGCTCTTCCCTGCAACTGTGTCCTTTAATGCTAAGTTAACTTCTTCAATTGATATTGGGCTATCTAAAGCTGCTAATCTGGCTTTATCCACTCTAGGTAGTCCAGTCTCTTTCAGATTAGTCTGCTTCCTATCCTTCTTCCGATTCCCTCTGGTTTTTACTTTCTAACCCATATAGCCTGCTTTAGAATTTCTGAAATGTGTTGGTGATATCGATGGTTGCATAAACCATTTCTCCTTTTTCATTTTATCTATGAAATTCTTTGATTTCTTTTCCTTCAACTTCCTCATTAAATATTTCCCTGATTTATTCCCCCACCGATATCTATTCTTCGAAACCCTGTTGAAAATGTTGCTGGTTTCTTGCTCCTTTTAATTTCTCTCTTTTTAATATCTCTTGTTGTAACTTCTTTTTATGTAGTTGTTCCAACTGATATAGTTCTTCCGTTAATGTCTTAATCCTTTTCCCTCGTTCTTTCTTCATCTCCGCCCCTATTGCTATCAGTATGCCCCTTACCAGATCGTGGCAATAGACACTTCCTCAGTTTTATTAATCTTAAAATATTGATCTATATTGATATTGATCTTGTTTGATTTTACAAGTAAATTTACATATTTATTTTATTCTGTTCCTTCCGAACTGTAGTTTTATTGTGACAGGAGCATATGCTCTTTGTAGGGGCAGTGGTAAATGGAATTTTGCAGTAAGAAGACCTTCCCTTTCCTCCCCTCCGACTTATTTTTAGTCCTTGAATCAAATGTGACCCCGTCACAGTTGATTTCTTCTTTTGGGTAAAAACTCCTTCAGACCCTGATCTCTCATTTTTAGGTCTGAAATTGCCAGCATGGATATTGCCCGCTGTGTTGCTCTATCCTCTTCTCCCCCTGCCTCTTCTTTACTACATGTCTCTTGCCTGTCTGATACACCTCTATCCGGCTCTTAAAGCCCCCTTTAGCCTGCCTTCAGAGGCAAAGGCTCTCATCTCCGAGACATTATCAGACACCACCCCTCCCCATCTATCTCTTTTTTTATAACTCTTTGTCATTTCTCCTCAACTACTCTTATGTTCTCTTGCTCTCCATCAGTCCATCCCTTTGGAGTGTGTAGTTCTAATTTTTTGCAAAAGTCATTTAAATCTTCTAGGAATTTCAGTGTCACCAATTTTCCGTCCCTCCATCCAGTCAGGCATACCGGAAATCCCCAGTTATATCGCACATTCCTATTTCTCATCTGCTCCAACAATGGTTTCAGTAACCTTCTCCTGATAAGTGTCTCTGATGCTATGCCCACAAAAATTTGTACTTTCGTCCCACCAAACTATATCTGACACTCCACGTAGCTTCTTCCAAATAATCTCTGTCTTCATAATGATGGAACCTTACTATCCCTAGGGGTATCTGATGGGACTTTTTGAGATGTTCTGGATATGTATTCTTTCTTCAATTGCTCGGTTTCTTTTCTTCCCATTATTGGATTAAACTATTTTTCTCATGGCATCTCTTAGATGTTCTCCTTAAGACTTAAGTCCTTAAGACTCCTAAAATTATTCCTCCTGGCTCTATTTTCCTGCTCTTCTAATCTGTAGGATAGAAGTCTCTGTTCTCTTTTCATTTCATTCATTTGCTCTAATTTATTACTTGTGCTTGCTTCTCCAGCTTCCATTCCCTCAGTTCTACACGATAGAACTTGTCCCATATTGCCGTGTAACTCCGCCATTTCACTTTTTATAGAGTTTCTAATTTTGCGAACATTTTGGCCCTTTGTGGGTATTTGGGACCTTACTTCTTGTTCCTCCATGTTTCTTTTTCCCTTTTCCCTCTCCAGCTTTCTTTTGAATGGTATCTTTCAACTGCCTCCAGTGATAATCTCCCCTGCTCTCCAACTTTCTTCTCCTTGAGTTTCTGCAAGAAGGGTCAGACGCACACCGGAGGATAGATGAATATAGTGTGTATTTATTAATCCATAGGACACACAGAACACCAGGACATA